GAAATATTGAACTGTTTTCAACATTGATAATAATCAGAAATGTTTCTTGAGCAGCAAATCAGCATATTATAATGATTTCTGAAGATCATGTGACACTGAAGACTGCAGTAATGATGCTGAAAATACAGCTGCGCATCACAGGAATACATTACAGTTTAACAGATATTCACATAGAAAACAGCTGTTTTAAATTGTAATAATATTTCACATTTTTTATGTATTTATGGTCAGATAAATGCAGCCTTGGTGAGCAGAAGAGACTTCTTTAAGAAACATTCAAATGAAATTTCTCCAATGATCATCTTAGGTTATTTCAGGAAGGGGTAAAAACTAAAATGAAGTCATAAAGTCCTTCTGTTCTGTTTCTCTGAGCAGTGTATAGTTTTTGCGGTTCATTTGTTGTGTTCAGCTGTTTGACTCGCTGAAGCTTCATTAACTGAAAGAGTTTGGAAAGCTTGTGCTGACGTGACGCTCAAATCCAGAAATACTTCACAGCCGTGCAGTTTTATAAACGCTTCTCTAATCTGATTAACGACAGCACTGGGACGTTTCACTCTTTCTGTGGGCGTTCAGTGAGTCCCGTACTGTACCTTACTCGATATGAACTTCTTGTATATTGAACAGTTTGTATAAAATCAGCATCAGCTTCCATCCGTGCTGTCAGTCTGGATTGGAGCACGGCTGTGACCAGTGTTGGGGAAAGTTACTTTTAAAAGTAATGCGTTACAATATTGTGTTACTCCATAAAAAAGTAACTGATTACGTTACTTAGTTACTTTTTATGGAAAGTAATGCGTTACGTTACTTTGGCGTTACTTTTTAAATCTGGACAGGGCTTGCTTGTTTGTTTTTAAAATAAAAAAGTTCTATTTTTGGCAAATATAAAAGCCTTTTCACACCAAAAGTGAAATGAATAAGCCTCAGACTGAAGGAAATGTAAATTTACGTCTGCACAGTAGAATGCAGAAGAAATTTCAACACACTTCAGCAATAAAAAAAAGATTCAGCAATAAAAAAGACACACAAATGTTTGTCTAGAGTAACTTTTGCTTATTAGTGTGGTTGAACTGGATCATCGAAGGTCAGAAGCAAAGACATTTGTTAATAGAATGGGATTAAATACATAAAGGATATTTGTGTTGTTTAACATTTAATTATTGCAGGTTTGCGTCATATTCGGAGTTGCATTATTTTCATTTTGAGGAATACTGAATCTGTTTTTTTTTGTGAGTGAGATGAATTAATGCATATTCATATTTATTTTAGAACTACAGTAACATCTTCTGATTTCTCTCAGCATGGGAACAGGAGAGCTGTCAGTCAATAAATTGGAAAAAAAAGTAACTCAGATATTTTCTTGTAAATTAAAAAGTAATGCGTTACTTCACTAGTTACTTGAAAAAAGTAATCTGATTACGTAACTCGCGTTACTTGTAATGCGTTACCCCCAACACTGGCTGTGATCACCTACCGTCTCAACATAGATCTCATTTACGTCATAATGGAATTACTAAAACTGTTACATTCCTCAGAAACAGACCCGTTTCTATAGCAACACTCAATGTTGCAACCTGCAAACTTAATGACAGCAGAACGTCTTCACTACATTAACTCACCTCTACTGTATACATGCTCTCCATAAATATTTAACAATAATAATAATAATATGTGCAGAGGCTGATACCAGTTTAGCATTAATGATTAAAAGAGCTGTCATTTTTATGGTTGATAAATGATGACACGGCGGTCAAGCGGCAGAAATCCCGAAAATCCAGCTTCTAACCTGTAATTATGAGTTTGACAAATACGTGAAGTATAGTATGTAATATTATAGTATAGTATGTAACCAATATTAAATTAGTAGTAAATTAGTAGAATGACAACATTTGGAAAGAAAAGTTCAAAAGTTAGATCAGGGCCTCATTTATAAAGATGTGCATCCTAAATGTGAATTTACAATAATTTCTGAAATGTTATACATCTGGTAACACTTTAAGGACACATAAGATATGAACTAACAATGACAAATATTTATAAAGCATTTAACCTTAGTTAATATTAATTTCAACACATGTGTTATTAAAATCAAAAGATGCATAAAACAAAAAAAAAAACATAACATTAACAATGAACAACTGTATTATAACGTTACCAAACATGAATAAATACTGCAACAAATGTACTGCACATTGTTAGTTAATGCGTCAAATATAGGGCCCTACTGAAAAATTTTACTATTTCTCTTTACATTTTGATAAACAATGTTGGAATATTTTAAAACACAAGAACATTTTCACGCCAGTTTTTAACTTTATAAATTCTGTTTTTTCCTCACTTTTGACACAGTAAGAAATCCATGTAATTTAGGATCAAATAGGATCATATGTGACCCTGCAGCACAAAAGCAGTGTTAAGTCGCTGGGGTATATTTGTAGCAATAGCCAACAATACATTGTATGGATCAAAATTATTGATTTTTCTTTTATGCCAAAAATAATTAGGATATTAAGTAAAGATCATGTTCCATGAAGATATTTTGTAAATCTCCTACCGTTTTTCAAATAGTTGTATCTCAGCCAAATATTGTCCGATCCTAACAAACCATACATCAATGGAAAGATTATTTATTAAGCTTTCAGATGATGTATACATCTCAATTTCAAAAATGTACCCTTATGACTGGTTTTGTGCTCCAGGTTTAATAAATCTGCAAAAATGTCAACAATTCTGTGTTTTTCTGTCAATATGGGGTGCTGTGTGTACATTGAGGAAAAAAAATTAACTTAAATGATTTTAGCAAATGGCTGCAATATAACAAAGAGTGAAAAATTTAAGGGGGTCTGAATACTTTCCGTACCCACTGTATATCTGTTATATAAATGAGAGACGAATAAGATTTCTGATGTGACGAACACGCTGACATTCACACAGATCTGACGCAAACTCACAAACCCAAACGCTGCAGCAGTTTTTGAGTTATCTTTTATATTTTTAAAAACAAACAAAAAATAACAGATTAAATGGAATTTACAGTAGACATTCGCAATCATTGTGCACTTTTAAATACCTCGGATACTTTCTGCAGAGCTGTCCACGGAAAAACGCAAACACAACGAGAAGAGGAGGAGCAACTTATCCACGGGAAAAGAATCACTGAATATATAGATTATTTCTTCCTTACATCCTTACATCACTTATATAAATATACTGAACCGAGAAAAGAAGATTCATCTGAGAGAGAGAGAGAGAGAGAAAATAAACAGCGCGTACAGAAGTTCACAACAGCGTTAAGGCAAAACAGAAAGCAAGAAACGCTAGAAAGTGAAAGAGGAAGAAATCCAAAGTGAACAACGTGAGAGAGAGAGAGCCAGAGGAAGAGAGACAGACCAAGACGGATGAGCGCGTGGAGAGACGAGGCTTCGACGGCGCGTTAAAGACACGGTTCAGATTAAACGAGCCATTCTTTCAGTGTTTCCACACCAAACCTGCTTGACTTCGTTTCTTCTGTTTTGGAAGAACATCTGAGCTTTATTTGCCCATATAAAGCTGTCGAGCTCCACAAATGAGAACAAAGTACCATAAAATGGGCTGAGTTTATATTCTTCTCAAGTCTTCTGAAGTCATATGAGGCTTTATGAGAGTCATATCGACTATATGATGTCAAACATCACCAACTTTTGCTCATATGGATCTTTTTGTAATATTTTTTCAGTGCTCGATATATTCATATATTCGATCTTCAAAAACTCTCAGTTTGTGCTCCATAACGTCAAACAGGTTTGGAACGACATGAAGGTGAATAAATGAAGACAAGATCCTTACTCTCCTTTTAAAGGGATAGTTCACCCAAAAATTGATGTCATCATTTATGTCATTACATACATGTATGCATTTCTTTCTTCAAAAGCAGCATGATGTGAAAAACGCTGGCAAACATTTTTGGTCCCCATTGACTTTCATTGTATTTCCATATACTGTAATGCAAGTCAATGGGAACTGGTTTGATTCCCAACATTCTTCAAAATATCATCTTCTATATTCCACAGAAGAAAAATGTCTTACTGGATCGGAACGACATGAATGTGAGTAAATGATGACAGAACTTTAATTTTGGGGTAAACTATCCCTTTAGCTTGCCTAAAAATTAAAAATCTGCAGGATATAAAAAATGCAGCAAACAAGCATTCCCGGTTCCCATTGACTTCCATTGTATTTCCATAGAATGGAAGTCAATGGGAACTAAGACTGTTTGATTCCCAACGTTCTTCAAAATATCTTCTTTTATGTTTCAGAGAAGAAATTAAGTCATACAAGTTTAGAACGACATGAATGAGAGTAAATGATGGCAGAATCTTATTTTTGGGGCAAACTATCCCTTCAAAGAGTCAGTTTGCCCAAAAATGAAAACGGTGTCATTATTCACTTACCTTCATGTTGTTCCACACCTGTATTGAATTTCTTTTTTCTGCAGAACACACACACAAAAAAAGCATAAAACAGCTGGAAATGAAACGTTGGTCATTAAAACGTTTTGGTACCAACTGACCTCCATAGTCAATATTTTCATGAAGTCAATAGGAACTGAAAATACTTGGTTACCAACGTTCTTTAAAATATCTACTTGCATGTTCCACAGAAGAAAGAAAGTCAAACAGATTTGGAAAGACATGAAGATGAGTAAATGAATAAAAATTTTGGGAAAGTTTCCCAAAAATGAAAATTGTGCCATAATTCACTTACATCCATGTCGTTCCACACATGTATGAATTCCTTCTTTTTGGCAGAACACACACGCAAAAAGCATAAAACAGCTGGGAATGAAAAGTTTTGGTACGCATCGACTTCCACAGTATTTTCATAAAGTCAACAGGAACTGAAAATGTGTTAGCAACGTTCTTCAAAAAATATCTACTCGCATGTTCCACAGAAGAAAATAAGTCATACAGGTTTGGAACGCCATGAAAGTGAGTAAATCATTTCATTTTCATCTGAACTGTCCCTTTAAGACGTCCACTTGTGTTTATGAGTGTGTGTGTGTGTGTGTGTGTGTGTGTGTGCGTCATACGATACACACAACGCAACACGCTTCTGTGTCATATGTGCTCTTCGGTTAATGATACAAAACAATAAAAAAGATCCCTAAGGAACACCAGGATGATCTCTTCCCTTTGACATCTCCGACTTCCTCTCTCTCTCTCCCGACTCACTGCGAGCTCGCTCGCTCCAGCACGCGCAAGTCATAGTTCTTTTTGGTGGCGCGCAGTTTGAACAAACTCCCGCCGCTGTTGTTGAGTTTGAAGGAGGCGCTCTGGGCCGCCATTGTGTTGGGGAACACAGCCACCACGGTGTAGAGGTGAGCCGGGTCGCTGGCGTCTCCCCGTCCGCCGCCGGGGCCCCGGGGACACTGAGGGTCCTTCAGCCACTGGATCTTGGCGCCGCAGAGCGAGAGCTGGTTGAAGAGCTTCTCGGCCTCTGGACGAGAAATGCCCTCGGGGAGGTCGGTCACCTCCAGCACCCGACTCACCACTAGAGGGAGACACGCAGAGATCACACTAGAGTTAAAGGGTTAGTTCACCCGAAAATGAAAATTGTGTCATTAATTACTCACCCTCATGTCGTTCCAAACCCGTAAGACCTTCGTTCATCTTCGGAACACAAATTAAGATATTTTTTGACCCTCCGTAGACAGCAAGGATCCTAACACGATCAACGCACAGAAACGTACCAAGGACATCGTTAAAATAGTCCGTGTGACATCAGTAGTTCAACCGTAAGTTTACAAAGCAGCGAGAATACTTTTTGTGCGCAAAGAAAACAATAATAACAATTCATTCAACAATTCTTCTCCCCGAGTTACCGTCTTCCGCGTGCATGCTGAACGTAAACAACGCTGATAACATTCTGGGGTACTCTTTGCACACAAAAAGTATTCTCGCTGCTTTGTAAACTTACGGTTGAACTACTGATGTCACATGGACTATTTTAACGATGTCCTTGCTACGTTTCTGTGCGTTGATCGTGTTAGGATCCTTGCTGTCTACGGAGATCAGAGAGCTCTCGGAGTTCATCAAAAATATCTTAATTTGTGTTCTGAAGATGAACGAATGTTTTACCGGTTTGGAACGACATGAGGGCGAGTAATTAATGACTTTCTTTCAGACGAATCCAATCGACGTTATATTAAAAATGATCCTTGCTCTTCCAAGATTTATAATGGCAGTAGGCAGGTGTTTTTGTTCAACAGTCCAAAAGACGTCAAATAAAGCGCATCCATAATAATAAAACGTGCTTCACACGGCTCCAGGGGGAGAATAAAGGTGTCCTGTAGTGAATCGATGCGTTTTTGTAAGAAAAATATCAATATTAAAAAGGTTGAAAACACTTTTCTCTCACTGATTATGTAATCTAGATGACAAGCACTGATCACGACACACTTCATTTATATGGTTAGATAATGTGTTTCCTGCATTCACAGAAAGACCATTTCAGAGGCACTGAGGAATCATCACGCAAACTAAGACCAGGGACATTTTTATGGTAAATAAGGTGCATTTTCATGTCACACTGACTTTAAATGAGCAGAAGGACTCAGGTCAGGAGTTTGTGTTTGGTCTCTTACCCACGTCAGTAGTTCCCAGGTCTGTAGAGGCAGATTTGAGCGTTTGTCTTTTCCCCCGCGCTCCGTGCTTCATCCCTCCCTGACTCTGAGAAACACACAGACACACTGTGAACAACTACAGACGGAGAGATGGAGATACATGAGGAATGATGGATCAGACAGCGGCTCAATGTTCTTGCACATAGAATTAACTACGACTCATTTAAAAAAAACAAAAAAGGTAGTGCTTTGAAAATTATTCCACTCCTCGTTTGCTTAATATCACACTTTATGAAAATAACATTTTGAATTTATAACCTTAGTGACAAGAATATAAAAAAAAATAAAAAATACTAGTCTGAGTCTGTATTTTTATTTATTCATTTATTTTTGGGAGGAAACCGTAAAATAAAGTATAAGGGAAAAAAGAAAAAAAATATGCTAAAACTTTTAATCCTATATATGCATGTTAAAGTACTTGACATGGTGTTTAACAGTGAGTAGTGCTCAGCTGAGTTCTGTGCG